CCAAACAACAAAATATTTAGGAATTCACTTAGATGAAAATCTTAAATGGAACGAGCATGTTGACAAACTTTGTTCAAAAGTCAATCGATCCATCAGTGGTCTAAAACAGGCACGTGATTATGTACCATTAGATGTTCTAAATACTATTTACAAATCTCTTATCCAGCCTGTGTTCGACTACTGCGACGTTGTTTGGGACAATTTAGACCAGGGACTTGCCACTAGGATCCAGAAATTACAAAATCGTGCTGCACGCATAATAACCTTTCAAGGTTATGACGTTCGTTCAGCACAAATACGAAAACAACTAAACTGGGAAGAGCTTGCCTCAAGGCGTCAAAGGCACTTAAGTCTATTAATGTATGATACAGTGAATGGAAATGTACCTAGTTACTTAAGCGATCTTTTCTCGAATGTCTGTGAGAACAACCCTTATAAGTCTATGCTAAGAAATGCGGAATATAATGTTGTACTGGACCACGTTCCAAAAACAGAATATTATAAGGGGTCTTTCTCATACAGAGGAGGAATGCTGTGGAATTCATTACCAAATGACATAAAAGCGTCCGAATCTAAAGCTATCTTTAAAAGAAAACTGGCTAGTAGGCAGGCAAACTGTTGACTACATTTTACTATATTTTATTATTTGTACATATTTTTAGTGTAGTTGTACAGTATTTACTTACTATACGGCTTTCATGTAAAGAAGTTATGTAACTTATGAAATTAGCGTATTCAAATAAAAGTGAATCAATCAATCAATCAATCTCCTGGCAATAAAACGACGCAGGGTAAGCAGGAACGAATCTGTATCTGGGCTGTGAGCCACTTCAAAAGAAGGGGGAAAAGTAAAACATTTTGCGCAGTGTAAAAAAAAAAAGATGGATTGCCTTTTTTGACTACTTTAATAGAATCTTTAATCTAATCTTTTTGCAATTATTTTAATAAAGGGACATAAAGTTGATTTCTCGTGTCTTAAAAAACGTGTCTGATTTTATTGCGAGAATCAATTTATTAGTCGCGTGTTTCAATTGATCCTTCTTTAGTTATTAATTTTTTCCTTGTAACTACAATATATAATATCAAGAGAGAGGATATAATGCTAGAAATATTATACAGTAGTACAATCAAAAGATAAGGCACCTCCAGGAAATCGAGTTGGTCCCTACTTTTCTTTAGTCATTTTCTTTTACTCTCTATAAGAGTTACACCTGTCCATTAATACAGACATTTTGTGCCAGTCCCTATAGTTTCCATCGTTGATGGAATGCATTGCTCTCAGTAATGGTAAAACTGCGTGGAGACAACTTAGGAAATTATTCAACCTGGGCAAATCCAAAAATATGCAAAAAAAATACACCTGGGGACTTAAAGAAGTTTTACAGTTACTTTAAAAAGTTAAACGCACGAAAACAGCAAAACGAAGAGTACATACCAACAAGATCAGAGGCCTTGGGGCCCCTAGATTATGAAATATCTGAACAGGAAACGGTAACTGCTATCGACCACTTAAAAACTGGGAAGGTCCCGGGAGTAGATAATATTTTATGCGAGCTGCTCAAACATGGCAAAGAGGCCTTAAAAGGGCCTCTCACAATCCTTTTCAATAAAATCCTAACCAGTGGTAGGTACCCTACCCTGTGGAGTCATGGCCTAATTATACCAATCTTCAAAAAAGATGATCCGTCCAACCCAGAGAATTATAGAGAAATTACTCTCTTATCAGCCATGGGAAAGATTTTTATCACAATAATGAATAGCAGGCTTTGTGACTATCTAATTGAAAAGGGCATAATTACTCCAGAACAATGTGGCTTCCGAAAAAAACATGGTACACAGGATAGTATCTTCATTTTAAAAGCACTACTACACAAATATGTTAAATCTAAACCCAAGAAATCAAATAACCTTTTATTCACCTGCTTCGTTGACTTTAGTAAAGCATTCGATAGTATCCCCAGAGGGAAACTGTTTCAAAAATTGAAGCTAGCGGAAGTAACGGGGCGCTTCCTTGACATTTTACATTCAATGTACTCCAATGATAAATCATCTGTGAAAATAGAAAATATGCTAACACCTGCCTTTCGATGCAATACCGGTGTAAAACAAGGTTGCATGCTCTCGCCAACCCTTTTTAACCTTTATCTCAGTGACCTTTCAGAGAAACTTAAGGCCAAGAGCCTAAATGACGTAGAACTAAACGAGTTACCGTTAAGTTGTATGCTCTACGCGGATGACTTGGTCATATTCTCCAAATAAAAAAACGGACCGCAGGATTATTTGGATTCCCTCAGTGAATACTGCAAAGAAAACGACTTGTCGGTTAACCTTAATAAAACTAAGGTGTTAATTTTTAATAACTGCGGGAGAACCATGAATAAGCACGTATTATACTATAAGGGCAGTAAACTTGACAATGTTAGCGATTACAGATATCTTGGCCTACAATTTAGTACTTATATGGGACCTTCACGTACGCTAAACAGGAAATAAAGAAGGTTGCCCTTAAAGCTTAATACAAACTCAGGAAGGAAATGGGCGACCATTTCAGAGACGATGTACAGCTCACAATGAAAATTTTTGACACAGTTATTTCCCCAATACTCACCTACGGAAGCGAGGTCTGGGGGGTCGATCACGACGGAAAGCTAGAAAATGATCCAATTGAGTTTGTTCAAACAAAGTTCATAAGGTGGCTATTGGGAGTTAACAAATTCTGTAGCTCAAATGCTTGCAAATCGGAGGTAGGCCGTTTTCCAATGCGAACGAAGACAAAGTGCAGAGCCATTAAATATTGGCTGAAATTTTGTGAGCCGGAGCACCAAAATAAACTCTCTGGAATAGCATTGACAGACCAAATTGGTCAAGATAAAAAGGAACTTCCGTCAAGCAAATTAAAACGACTATTAAATCTCGCAGGTCTTGGCGACATATGGTCAGCGAAAACTAACACTCCCGCAATCATGAACGATATACGACAGAGACTCTTAGACATAGAACAGCAAACATGGATTAGCGAAATACACAATGATGAACGAAAGGACCCGCATCAAAAAAAAAAGAATTTTTAGGAAATATAAACTTACCCATGACTACGAAAATTACCTCACAAATGTAAGAAACATCAATCATAGAGTAGCAATCACAAAGCTAAGATTAAGCAACCACAAACTAGCAATTGAAACTGGACGATACGTTAAACCCTATCAACCACCAGACCAAAGAATCTGTCCATTATGTAAAACTGGATTAGAAGACGAGGAGCATTTTTTGATGAATTGCATAGCCTATAGGGATCCTAGGAGAGAGCTGTTCAATACGCTAAAAAAGGAAACTAATCTTATTCTTGACTCTATGACTCCAAGCTCTGCCTTTACAACGTTGATAAGTATGAAGCCAGGAGAGAAAACGCAAAAAAATTATGGCTTAATACGTATATGATCGCTTCCGCGAAAGAGATAGACGCGTTAAATACAACCTTGTTTAATAGTTGTATAAATTTTACAAATGTACACCTCTGTAATTATTGCACGAAAATCTTTGTTATCGTTGTAAACACATGTGTCTATAGACGCTCTGTTGATAATAAAGCACTTATCCTATCCTATCCTATCCATCTGAGAGCTGACTGTAGTTTGTGCAACACCACACTTAAGCCTCTGACGACAAAAATACAATGCTACACAGTCTTAATTTATTCTACTCGTAATCAAATTAAGACCTCTTCATGTTCTTCTTCATATTCACGGTATTATGTACTCGCTTAGTTTTCAGTATGTGTTCTAGTAGTCTTTTCAGGCCGGGCACTCACTGTTGTCCTGCAAAAAAATCATAATGACAAACACATTCTATAATTTAATTTTACAGTAGAATCTTTGTGGGGATTTGAAAGCAAATTTCTCCATAGGCTTCATTCTGTTTCTGTGCAATACAACTTTTAGATTTATACCGCAGTAAAGCAGAATTTGTTGTTGTTTATGTAACGACTGTCACACGAGATCATTCGAATGCAATTTTATAGAAGTAGAACTTTAAAAGTAGTCAGAACCTTCTGGATCGCGGTTCTGTAACTAAAAAAACTTAATTACGATCTTAGTGTATATTAAAAAAAGAAAAATAGCTAAATTGGGCAACTGAAATCTTTTATTTTACTAACAAGCTAAACGCCAACCTGCAAAACAAAAACCTTTCCATCGCCATTATGAAGTCGTTCTTTCAGAAAAAAACCTTAAAGGTTCATAAAAGTTCACTCTAAAAAGTTGCATGCACAAACAAAATTTATAAAACCATTACATATTTTTTTGTAGCCGTTTATTATCATTTGGTTTTTGACTGACAAGATAAAACGCGACCTTCAACCTGTAATATTCGATAGGCCATTTTGACACTACATAAACATAAAGGGCGAAAAAACACTTTAACTTGAAAGACTAACTATAAAATATCACCTAAATATTTTCTGCATATCGCATAGAAATACGCCAAATATCAAATCTAATTATAGATTGGAGCGATCTAAAGATACCAAGCAGTAAATCCTAACCTACCTACAGCTAGACGGCGCCATTTTTCTTGCCCTGACAGCGGATCGAGATGTAATAACACCAAAGAAAATTTCTCATGAGAGCCCGAGAAAATAAACGTCAAATTTCACAAAATGACACCGTTGCGCATGACATTTACAGAATTTTACCTGTATTTTCACAATTCTTGTGAAATTTAACATTTTTTTTCTCAGGCCTCCATTACTTTCATGAGAAATAGTCTTCGGTGTTATTACAGATAATAAAATTAAATTTATATAATACCCTTTGGCCAGCTGCTGATAATGATACAGATAGTTTATCTTATCAGTTTTCACTATCAAGATATTTAACAACTTCTAAAACCTAAAAAGTCTTATACAGCGAAATAATTCATTTAGTTCTGTGACAGTATAATAAGAATGTCCTTCCTTTACAAAATCTTAGTAAGTTTTTGTTAAATCAAATACAACAGCATCAGTCGTAGGTCTCGTAGTTGTTGTGACAGCTGTCAGCAAGGGACCGAGTTTCAATCATTGGTGTTTCTTCGCCAGAGTATCTACTGCTATCCTGTAATTTCCGTTTTATTGGCAGAAGGCAGCAAACAAAAAGTTTTTGGGCAACACCACGAAGGCGAGTCTTGAACTGTTCAGTGAAAACACAAAACAGCAGGAAATTGGCAAACCCTTGGCTGCTGCCTCCAAACCCCTGTGAGAACAAAAAGGAAGAAAAGAAAGAAAAAATTTGCAATGAATGATAATCTTGATTAGCTGACTTTATTTTGTCCGGAATAGGTCATTCCTGGCCATTTTGAATTCCTATTTTGGTCCAATTTTACTTCGTAAAACTTTAGTTGCTGTTTGTAGCGCTTCTTTTATATCGCGATACAAAGTTTTCATAACACTAGCGGGACAGTCTCGCATATCAGTGATTCTATATTAGGAAGTAAATTTTGATTGGTTCTCCAAAAAAAACCCAGCATTGAAACAGAGTTATACGCTTCAGGGTTATATGCTGCTGTTATAACGTGACAAGGGTAACGCGCGCTCTGATTGGTCAGTGAGCCATCTACCATTTNACAGATAATAAAATTAAATTTATATAATACCCTTTGGCCAGCTGCTGATAATGATACAGATAGTTTATCTTATCAGTTTTCACTATCAAGATATTTAACAACTTCTAAAACCTAAAAAGTCTTATACAGCGAAATAATTCATTTAGTTCTGTGACAGTATAATAAGAATGTCCTTCCTATACAAAATCTTAGTAAGTTTTTGTTAAATCAAATACAACAGCATCAGTCGTAGGTCTCGTAGTTGTTGTGACAGCTGTCAGCAAGGGACCGAGTTTCAATCATTGGTGTTTCTTCGCCAGAGTATCTACTGCTATCCTGTAATTTCCGTTTTATTGGCAGAAGGCAGCAAACAAAAAGTTTTTGGGCAACACCACGAAGGCGAGTCTTGAACTGTTCAGTGAAAACACAAAACAGCAGGAAATTGGCAAACCCTTGGCTGCTGCCTCCAAACCCCTGTGAGAACAAAAAGGAAGAAAAGAAAGAAAAAATTTGCAATGAATGATAATCTTGATTAGCTGACTTTATTTTGTCCGGAATAGGTCATTCCTGGCCATTTTGAATTCCTATTTTGGTCCAATTTTACTTCGTAAAACTTTAGTTGCTGTTTGTAGCGCTTCTTTTATATCGCGATACAAAGTTTTCATAACACTAGCGGGACAGTCTCGCATATCAGTGATTCTATATTAGGAAGTAAATTTTGATTGGTTCTCCAAAAAAAACCCAGCATTGAAACAGAGTTATACGCTTCAGGGTTATATGCTGCTGTTATAACGTGACAAGGGTAACGCGCGCTCTGATTGGTCAGTGAGCCATCTACCATTTGCCGGTTGGTGCGCGCCAAGAAAAGCTAGCGCGGTAAAATTGAGGCAAATTCAGAATATCTCCTCTCCTGTGCGGTTTAAAATGGACCGATAAAATATACAAACGAAAAACGGAAGTTGAAGAAAATGTTCAGTTGTCGTTCTGAGGTTCAGTTGTCTTCGCGGGTGGGACCTCAGAAGAAAAACTCCGAGTGAGCAAAGTTTTTTGAGGATTTATGCGCGAGATTTTAGGTACACTTTCTGTGTTTTTATTGTACAGAAAGTCTGTTTTGAAATGGAAATGCATTAATTAGTATTGGGTTATTGACATTTTAGTGAAGTTAAAGTTAAACTTGTAGGAAACACGCTCAGATTCGAGACAGCTAACTTTTTGTGTAGCTTTCATCGCTAAAAAATTTTAATTGAGTTATAATTACGGACATATTACGCTGGAATGAATGCAAATTTCATTTGAGTACAGGAACTTTGGGTTTTCAAATAATTTTCTTCCAAAAATGACTTTTCTGTTTATTATGTAACTAATGAGCTTGAAGAAACTACGCACTAAATCTGGAGTGCATAGCAGTCCTTTGTTGCTTTTGAGAACGCGTGAGTTTTTCCATTCCTTTTTCTATAATCCAACAACACAAAAATTACAGATAATGTATGGAAGACGTCAAATTTTCTAAAAAGCGACAGAGGACTGCTGTGCACTCCTCAAATAGTGTATAATTTCTTTAAGTTCATTAGTTTAAGTGTCCAAAGAGAGTACATTCAATTAGAAAGAATAGGGTAACTTTGAATTCCCCGCCATCTCACTTTGACTCTGAAGATGACTACCGCACAGGTTGTCGAAACGTCAGTCACTGTCAACAACAACAGTCCTATTCAGGACTACGTTCACCCGGACGATCAAACTCAACCTACTTTTGAAATAACACCTGGGTTCAAACCCCTCACACTTTTACCTCTGTGTACAAAGACGAGATCGCAGATTTTCATAACACTTTAAGAAGAGAGAACGCAGACATATAGTTTACCAGGGAGATTAAGGAAAATCGTAAAATATCTTTTCTTCACTCCTGGGTCATTTGTGACAACAATAGCCAAAACCGACACATTTCGACAGATTATTATACGGACTTTGACGAGACTTACTACCTAATCAAGAACGTTTTTCATCAAAACCTACTACAACGGGATTTTTGTTAGTTAGACGTAACACTCACGGTTACCCCGATTCCAACACTCAGATCAGCGTTAGCTCTGGCCCTGTTACGACAGCGACTATTCCTTACATCGGAGCCACCTCTGAAACTAAGAGATGGACTGGCACTCTGCTTCGTGTACTTAGTATTATACGGTCAACAATTACCAGCACCGTATAAACGACTTATTTATGGGCTTAAGCAAAACTGACAACAACAGAATGACTGGACAACCGACAATTTGACTATCAAAAAGCGACTGTTAAAATGTAACAAAAGACGGATCGTAACGAACCAATGACAGTGGACAATGAACAGGTACAGAAGTATTGTGGATTATTCCATTTTGAGGCAATAGAGATTATGGGAGCTGCAAAAAAAAATCAAAGATCTAATTGCAGTCAAGCTGAGCCACCATACCTGACCACTTTTTCTTGTTGGATCATAATGTTTGTACGGGTTTTTATATAATATATGGTAGTTTTTTTATAATGTATGGTGTAATTTATACCGTTAAAAAAAACTGTCAAATGCCGGTTTCTGTCTTGATTGAGACATAAAACCTACTTGGAGATAAAAAAGTGCCGTATTCCACCACGCTTGAGATTTTCCAGCGTCGATATACAAAACGATGATCCAACGAAGTGTTCTCCAAACGCGCAGCAGAATAAAGGTAAAGGGAACCAAGGCCAACATTCTGTCGGCTTTCAGGGTGATGTTCTGGGCCTTTTGTGATGGAAACTGACTCTTGTTATAAGAAATCTGAAAAAGTAAAAGTGTATAAAGATGGTGTTATCAAGTCCAAGTAACTCCTAATAAAGAAATAGTTACTGGAGGGAAAAAAGAAAATGTGCAAACGGCCGTATCGCTCAAGAATTACCAACAGAAGCTACAGCTACTGTTATTGAATGGCTGATAAACGGCTGCTAGTAATGGTGGAGGGATGATTTACTCCTGTTTGTTGTCTAGTAATTGTCTAGCGAGGTCTAGCTAGGTCTAGTCAATAACGTCACCTCATTGGCAAAACATATGTGTCTAGTAAGTGTCTGGTCACTGTCTTNAAAAAAAAATCAAAGATCTAATTGCAGTCAAGCTGAGCCACCATACCTGACCACTTTTTCTTGTTGGATCATAATGTTTGTACGGGTTTTTATATAATATATGGTAGTTTTTTTATAATGTATGGTGTAATTTATACCGTTAAAAAAAACTGTCAAATGCCGGTTTCTGTCTTGATTGAGACATAAAACCTACTTGGAGATAAAAAAGTGCCGTATTCCACCACGCTTGAGATTTTCCAGTGTCGATATACAAAACGATGATCCAACGAAGTGTTCTCCAAACGCGCAGCAGAATAAAGGTAAAGGGAACCAAGGCCAACATTCTGTCGGCTTTCAGGGGGATGTTCTGGGCCTTTTGTGATGGAAACTGACTCTTGTTATAAGAAATCTGAAAAAGTAAAAGTGTATAAAGATGGTGTTATCAAGTCCAAGTAACTCCTAATAAAGAAATAGTTACTGGAGGGAAAAAAGAAAATGTGCAAACGGCCGTATCGCTCAAGAATTACCAACAGAAGCTACAGCTACTGTTATTGAATGGCTGATAAACGGCTGCTAGTAATGGTGGAGGGATGATTTACTCCTGTTTGTTGTCTAGTAATTGTCTAGCGAGGTCTAGCTAGGTCTAGTCAATAACGTCACCTCATTGGCAAAACATATGTGTCTAGTAAGTGTCTGGTCACTGTCTTCCTGCACACCTGCATACTTATTAAGTGCCTAGTCAGTGTCTAGCTAGCTAGGTAAAACAACGTTCCTCCGTACTAAAAACTGTCTTCCTCCACATCTAACGAGCGTCAATCTTATACAATGAAAATAATAGGCTTTTCCGCTCTATACCCACCTGATTAGCTCAGGTAGACTCTATTATGTTTTCGAAATAAAGGTGGTCAGTTTTCGAAAGCGCTATCTTTCTTGCGAGCTCAGTTGGCTAGGAAAAACTTTTGTTCGAGTTCGCTTGTTTGAGAAAACGTTTATTCACGTTTTGAGCATCATGGCTTTCCTTATCAACGTTGAGATACAGAGGCAGAGGACAAGGCAGAGAATGACGAGGCAGACTAAGTTGTTATCTAAAGAACTGAAGAGTTAGAGTTTATCTGGAGATAAACTGAAGAAGATCTGAGGATTAAAGTGTTTCTTTTTTTCTTGTGAATAACAACGGAACTCCTTCGGAGGCCAAGTACGACTTTCGAGGGCAGCTACAGCGTGATTTATATCGTGCAGAATCTATTTCATCAGGGAAAAGATAGGCGCAGCATAGACTTAAACAGTCATTATTTGGTGGTATTCAAGAATCCACAAGACAACTTGCAAATCTTGACTCTGGCCAAGCAAATGCAGCCCGGGCAAACTGATTTCTTCTTAAATCAGTACGAAGAGGCTTTAAAAAGACCTTTTGGTTATCTGGTGATTGATCTGGAAACTACTACCCAAGATAATTGTCGACCGCGAACAAACGTCCTGCCCAGTGAAGAGAGCTTTAACCAAGCAGGGTTTCAAGAAGATATTCCTCAAGAGCTTCTAAAATGTCTAAAGCAGCAAAATCTTTCGCCTGTCCTACTTCTTCCAGCTAGGCAAGAGATGCAGGGCAACATGGATGTCTTGCTTTCTCGAAACAATCTTCGGGACGAAGAAAAAGCTAAGCGATACTTTCAGTTGCAAAACAGATACCTGGCTTTTAAAGAACAATTAAATACAATACGACCGGAAGAAATGATCAGTACTGTTCCAGACCGCATCAAGCACACAAGATTCTTCGACAGCAACGGCACCATTGTCAACTCCTCTTAACCCCTTCAACGTAACACCTTTCATCCAAAAACCTAAAAGAGAAAGCTCCACCCCACCACCACCCTTAAATCCTACCACAGTAGATACCCCATCACAAGCCTCAAAGGGCAAAAGGTGTCGGATTCAATTTGTAAATTATTTGGATGATATTAATAATGCTTGCAAACAGAAAAAACGAACTCGGCATAAGAAATTTCGAGGCAAACCTTACAAGTACTCCATGGGCGAAGAACAAGAGGATTTATTTTTCATTCCTTTCAAATCGCTGTGTATTTTACTCTTTTTGTCATTAGTTCTCAAAAAAGTTTTTAAAAAGGTATTTTGTACGTGGTTTTATTAGTCGCAAGTTTCAATTCACCCTTGTTAATTTATTGTTTTTTTGTCTTTTGTAATAGCGAGTCAAAAATAGAAATAGAGAGTTTTCAGCTCCACTTTGTGTATCTGTATGTGTTTTGCTTATATATCCGATTATTACACAAATAGAGGACATAAGCCGTTTCTCGTGTTGCTAGGTGATCGCACCTCTTATTACTATTTTTTAATGGACGTTGCACTCATTAGGTACTAGAATAGCCTGCGTGCAGACGATAACTAAACTCTGATTAGTACCGTCTGCGAAGCAGCGCAGAGATCCTTGTTCTGGACCCCCAACGGACTCAAGGAATTACCGGAAGTGCGTTTCGAATTTCCGTTCAACCTGATTGGCGATCACGACAAACAAAACAAAGGCCTTTTTTAACTGGCCAATCGTGGCGCGTACTCAAATCTGGGTACACAGCTGGAAGTCCAGAACAAGGATTTCGGTGCTGTTTCGAAGACGGAATTCAACCTGATTGGCGATCACGACAAACAAAACAAAGGCCTTTTTTAACTGGCCAATCGTGGCGCGTACTCAAATCTGGGTACACAGCTGGAAGTCCAGAACAAGGATTTCGGTGCTGTTTCGAAGACGGAGTTAACCAGAGTTTAATTTCGTCTGCGCGCAGGCTAGTACTAGAATGGAGTCCAGCAATAATTCCCATTCTTGGGTCGACGAACAGGCGTCCAAAAGAGCTGGAAGCTCATCAACGTTGGTAACGATAAGCCATGATCCTCAAAAAGTGAATAAAAGCGTTTTCTCAAACAAGCGAACTCGAACAAAAGTTTTTCCTGGCAGACTGAACTTGTAAGAAAGATAGCACTTCCAAAAACTCCCCGACTTTATTTCGAAAACATAATAGATTCTACATGAGTCAATCAGGTAGGTCTAGAGCGAGCATGCCTAAGCAAGCCTATTGTTTCTATTTTATGAGAGAGACGCTCATTAGATGTGGAGGAAGACAGTTATTAGTATAGAGGAACACGATTTTACCTAGCTAGCTAGACACTGACTAGGCACTTAATTAGTATGCAGAAAAACACTGACTAGACACAGACACTTGCTAGACACATATGTTTTACTAATGAGGTGACGTTATTGGCTAGACCTAGCTAGACCTTGCTAGACACTTACTAGACACCAAACAGGAGTAAGTCATCCCTCTACCACCACTCCTGCTTTTGCGTGACAGGCCACAGGTGCTTATACTGACTGCAAATGAATATCATTTTTTTTAAATTCAAAATCTTTTGATTTGTTTTAACTGCAGTCTTTTATATAACGGGTACGTTCGAGTGGGTTTTACTGTAGTAAGTCTTAGCTTGTAAAAAAAAAATAAGATGTTAAAGGCTTAATACCTGTCCCCATCAGCTCTGTCAACGTCTAGGTTTATCGTCTAGTGTTATATTTAAACTTGCCTGAGGTCAAGGTTCAAGGGAATTATAAGTCAAGGGAATGTTGACAAGGGAAAAAGTTTATCGTTTTTCTGTCTTTTCCGTTACCAGCAACTTTTGTATTCACCCCGCTCTTCCCTGTTATAAAGAGGAATTTGCGACAATTTTTCAGACAGTTGGCAATTGACAAAGAACAAAGAAAGCCGACGCGAGTGAAAAATAAAATCCAATACCAGCTAATACCTAACCAAGCATCCTTTAATATCAGCACTTGGTCATATGACTTTTTTGACTTCAAAGCTATTTACCTGATAGTCACGAGATTAAGCTGTTGTAACTATTTGTATAGCACTAATATCTCAAACTTTTTGTTTAAAAGCAGGAACTGCAACCAGTGGTGCTCATCCAAATTAAAACTAATGGCTGATTTCAAGACAACAATGTTAAATCATACACTGTAATGTGTTAAGTTACTTCCCCACAGACAGGTGCTTTTCTGTCATCTCCTGCAATCGTTTTATAGTTAAATGCTCTTTAAGTATTCATAATAGCATTGTTAAGAATGCTGTGATGGAAATACGCCTATACTAGAAGCTTTCTAGATAACCTAAAATAAATATTAACATCACCGTAGTTCTTATCGCCGAGCCAACTCTAAAAACACACGAAGGTTACCTGATCCCGAATGTGACATTTCAACATCACGAAGAACAGAGAGACAAGTATATAAGCAGCAACATCCCAGGATATTCCTATCAGCCACAACCATAAGAGCAAATCATCGCGTTCCAGGCTTGAGTCTATCCAACACCACCCTGAAGTTAGAGCGTCTTTGTTCTTTCCTAGTTTGTTCAATCCTAAAGCGGTTCCTACGATAATCAAAGGAATTCCCCATCCAAAGACATGAAAACCTTTGAGCATGACCTCGGCTTTTCGACGCTGCTTCTTTGCTACAGTAGTGAACATGTAGACAGCAAGAAATGTCGTCCAGAGAAGCGACCATAAATAACCGCAACCGGTGACACAAGCTTGTATCTTGCATATGATATCACCCCTATCATGATGTGGCCTCCACATTCCAAATAAACAACTCGCGGCAAGTAAGAAGTCTGCGACGGAGATATAAACAAGAATTTTCCTTGAGTTTGATTGGTAATCCTTCCATGCGATATATGTAATGCAAATAACAGTGGTGCTCAACAGCGAAAGAGTCGCTGAAATAGTTATTACAACTCGGTTTCTCAAAGAGTTTGCCTCTTCTTCGAAACTTGTGACCGTCGCTTCTATTAATGCCATTTTATATGCCGAAACTAAAAATTTCAAACAGCAGCTGTGAACTGTTAAAAACGTCGATGAGGAGGAAGTCGTTTTCCTGTTTAAAACTACTTGGTTATCAGTTAGTTCAAGTTACGTCGTCTGAGGTCATGACATGCTATTCAGTTTCAAACTGGATTCAAGTGATGGTGTTGAATTGCTCAGAAAATGTTTTCTTTTGCAAGCTCTAAAGGTAACAATCGGAAGTCGGAAGGGTATATTGTGTTTTCTTGTTCAAAAGCCCGTGCCTTTTGTTTTAAACCAAAGTATAAAATATGATGTTGAGGTCACAAATGTAATAAGGGTACTGAATGTAGTATGAAACTGACGCCAAATGTAATAAGGGCCACCACACTAGAATAAGGAATCTGTCACACGGGTCACTTAAAATACAATACAATAATTTATTAACTCTCCCAAAGGGCTATTCTGAAGTTAATTTACAAATGCTAAAAAGAAGGGGATAAGAAGAAAAAGCTTAAATTAATTACAATCTTGGTACAAAACTAAAAGCGTAATCTATACGCGTACAATTACGTTATCTCTTTGAGGATCTAAGTGAAATCAAATATTAACTATTTAACGCATGGGGTCTGCACCCGCAATTCGCATTTGACGCTCCTCTTAAAGGTACATAGTGACAGGCTATTTCTAGTGTCTGCGGTCAGAGAGTTACAGGCGCTTACAGCGCGATAGTAAAATGACCGTTGCGCGGTGACTGTTCTGCATAGAGGGAGATTTAGATTGTCCCTTTTCCTCGTGTTGTAGTGGTGTGTATCTGATCGCTTACTGAGTTTACTACTCAGGTACAACGGGGCGAGGCCATTGACAATTTTGTATACTTGGGTAGTATCTCGGACTAATAGCTGATCTTTGATGGAGGACCACCCTAATTCCCGAAGAACAGGCGAGATGTGATCAAACTTTTTGGTATCTGTTAATACGCCGGCTGGTAAGTTTTGCACTAATTGTAACTTCTGTAGATTTTGCTTTGAGGTGCCTGCCCAGACAGTGGAACTGTAAAAAAGTCTACTAAAAATAAGAGAATTCAAAATAGTTGACAAGACAGGTTTAGTGAACAGGTGTCTGACCCTACTAATCTGACATAACATGGACAGGAGAGACGATGTTATCGTGTTTCCATGATCATTAAAGTTGAGGAACGAGTCCAGTGTAATGCCTAAGTCTTTAACTGAGGAAGCCGGAGTGAGTTCTTGGTCGAGGAAAGGTACCCTGATGTCTGATACCTTGCTTAGGAGCTGCCTGTCCCGAAAAAAATGAGTTTGGTTTTGCTTGGATTTATCAGTAATTGGTGTGAGCAACACCACCCTGCAGTCATTTTTACAAAGCAAGAATTTATGTTTTTAGCCGAAAAGGAGCAGTAGATCTTAGTATCATCAACGTAGGAGTCGGTACAGCTGGACTTACTGCGGTTAGATCATTCATATATAAGTTGAACAACATGGGACGTAAGATGGAGCCTTGAGGCACGCCACGTGTTATCGTAAGCTCATCAGAGAGAGAGGTGCCTAATGGAGTAGACTGCTTGTGGTCAGTGAGGTAACTATCGAACTATTAAGAGCCTGACTTGATGTGCCTAGACTGCGTAGTTGGAGAAGAAGTGTACTGTGGCAAATACTGTCGAAAGCCTTGCTGAGGTCCATAACGACCATAGCCGTCAATTGCTGTTGGTTTATAGCCCTGAAGATATGATCAGTAACCAAAAGGCTCAGAGTTTCCATAGAATGGTTCTTGCGGTTCCCGCTCTGATGTTGAGTGAGTTTGTTTTGCTTAGTCAGGAAGTCATTAAATTGAATCAAGGCAATCTTCTCAGCCACTTTAGAAAGGACAGGAAGCAACGAGATCGGCCGGTTGTTATTGGGGACCTCATGATCACAGTCTTTAATGTACAATGGCCCATAAGGGTCATGCATAGTATTATTTTTCTCGTAAGTCGAGAATTTCCTGTGTGCGAGATCTAAGATCCCTACCGATAAAACGCGATGTTGAGTTATAAGACAAGATCTCTAGTTATAAGTCGAGATGTCGAGTTATAAAGCGAGACCTCGACTTTTAACAATAGATTTCTTGTTATAAGAAGAGATCTCTTCCTATAAGACGAAAACCCGACTTATAACACGAGATCTTGTCATATAACACGAAATTTCGTCTTATAACGAGATTTCGACCAAAGTGAGATCTCGTCTTATAACTCGTGATATCGTCTTTTTAGCGCAGCGGCACCCCATACCAAAAGATAAATCAATGCCAAAAAAATTAGGTTATTTCGTCTGCATACGAAAGACTGTCCACACAGCCACAGACTCCGGGAGTAGGGGTAAAAAACTCAGTAGGGTAATAACCTTTATTTTAAGAGGGTGACACCAATTACTATGAAAAGTATTCTCCCTAGTGGCCCTCTAAAAACAAAATTAGAGAGGTAATAATAACAATTAAAATAATTATTTATTGATAGTGCGCTTTTTAACATACTAGGTGATCAAAAGCGCATTACAACAATAAAAAACCTAAAAGCTATACAAATATTAGAAATATACAAATATATGTAATATCGAAGAAATATTAAAAGCTAATTCAAAAAGATAAGTTTTAAGATTAGACTTAAAAGTAGAAATACATTTGATGCTGCGGAGGCTAACAGGAAGAGCGTTCCATAAAGTGGGCGCAGCCACGCTGAAGTATCTGTCACCAAATGACTTTTTCATTTTCCAAGACGGATGCTTTAATAAAACACCTTCGTTAGGGCGCAGCAAATAGCGCGTATTAGTCTTAGTATGAATTAAATCAATGATGTAACTAGGTGCCATGCCATAGAGGGCTTTGAAAGTAAGTAACAAAATTTTAAAATTAATTCTATATCTTACTGATAACCACTGTAAATTTATCAAAATGGGCGTAATATGGTCATACTTTTTACATGACATAAGCAGCCTAGCTGCAGCGTTCTGTACTCTTTGCAACTTAGCTATTTCACAGTCAGGTAGAGAGGGGAGTCCCAGACATATCCGTTGCCTTTCATTTTGGCGCAAAATTAACCATTTAGGGACAACCAACAGAGTTGCTCGAGTAAAAATTGAGATTGAAGTTTCTTGTGTTCGCTTAGGAGAAAATGTTTGGAAATAAATTTGCTTTTTGCTAAGTCACTCTTTGATCAAACTCAAGGAACAATTAGCAACCTAGTCTCCCCTCCCCGTGCTTGGTCAAAATTTTGACGGGTGAATTCATGCGTGAAAACGTATGCAACATCTAAATACACGCACTTCAACTATAAGTTTTTATTTAATATAATGAGGTATTTCTGCGATGAAAGTGAGTTTATTTAGTCACGCTGTCGCCTTAAGAGGACAGTCTTTCCTTTCGTAAAACAGTACATCGGCTGAATGTTGTTACGACCCAACATATCGCACACATGTTTTGAGCAGCGAGAAACGGTCAGTACGATAATTTTTCGTTGAACAGTTATCCTATAGATATTTAATTCTTGTCAACAGTGTAACTCCAAAATCGAACTTAATCGTCTCAGGAGTCAATGGTTAATTAATTATCCATTTTTCTGTGAAACTGCATTTTCACTCTTTCGCTGGCTTGTTAATCTCAAAATTTCGTCTTTCTCCCCACATAAAGTTAATGATTAATGAAGCTAAGAACACTTCCACGAATGAATGGTGCTTTGATGAAGACTGTGAAAAATTGCTTTCTGCGGTAATTTCAGCTTTCTTCACCGGTACGTTCTCGTTGAGAAATAATATACACGCACTTCAACTATAAATTTTTAATGATGCCAGCAAGATTGTGTTTTGAAAATCAAAAAACTCTATCATTTAGTTATACAAAGGAAAAGAATTAAAGCAATCGGTTTGAGTTCTGATTTTTTCAACCTTATTTTGACGATACACTGTTTTCATTTTATTATGTAAATAAATAAAACACTGAGGCCTTTTAAAGAAAATCTAGCCTTATTCCGCAACCCCAAAATAGCACGCAATGAAACGCTATTAATTCACCTTTTAAGTATATTCTGGCTTCTGTTGGGAAAAAATTAACTTTATTCCTAAATGATACAATTTTGTCGATACCACAATTTTTTATATGCTAATTTTTGAAACATTTCATTCACAAAGGATGTTTACTGAGACAGTTCCCCCTGTATTGAATCATACTCTTGTTTAATAGATCAGTATCTGCTTGATAACCCTTTCCATAGAGTTTCTATGTAAGAGGGTTCATCTGGATACAGTAACAGGCTCGCAGAGAAACATTTTAATGTTATTAAAATAACAGAAGCAGTATATTAGGGTCAGAATTAAGTCTCATTTGGGGATAGGTAAGGATAGTTTAGGGATAGTCAATGACGTCACCTCATTAGTAAAACATATGTGTCTAGTAAGTGTCTAGTCACTGTCTTCCTCCATATGTAATTAAGTGGATAGTCGTTTCTTTTCATATGGAAGAACACAATAGGAACTATAGGCTTGCCCATTAAGTATCTTGATCCCGGTTTCTCAGACCGTCTATTTAAAAACTACGAGTAAGAGGAGCGATCACCTCTGCAACGCGAAAAACGGCATACGTCTTCTATTTAGCGCTAAAAAAATAGGATATATAAACAAAACCACACACGAGATACCGTTTTTAAAACTTTATTGAAAACTAATGAAAAGAGTTAAATACACAGCGATCTGAAAGGAATGAAAAATTAATCATCACCTTCTTCGCTGATGGAGTACTTGTAAGGTTTGACTCGAAATTTCTTATGTCGATTTCTTTTCCTCTTTTTGCCATAATTCTACCTCAAAGAAACGACTTACTATTGAAATCTCAGCGTTTCACGCGCCGTTAGTTAATTATGCGAGTTAACAAGCCCACCGTTGCATACAAATTAGTTCAGCTCTGCAGTAAAAACTCCAAGGGAGAACCTTGGAGAGAAGGGAGAACAAACAAAAAAAAAACAATTAATAACTAAACAAGGATCAATTGAAACACGCGACTAATAAATTGATTCTCGCAATAAAATCAGACACGTTTCTTAAGACACGAGAAATCAACTTTATGTCTCTTTATTAAAATAATTGCAAAAAGATTAGATTAAAGATTCTATTAAAATAGTCAAAAAAGGCAATCCATCTTTTTTCTTACACTGCGCACAATGTTTTACTTTTTCCTCTCCTATTGAAGTGGCTCACAGCCCAGATACAGATTCCTTCCTGCTTGCCCTGCGTCGTTTTATTGCCAGGAGAGGCCAGGTGAGAAAGTTTTTTTTTTTTAATAACTTTTTTATTGCCACAACAACTATTGACATACATATAGTAGTATATACATGTAGTAAGACAAAATCACACTAAAAGTCATACAAGATATTTGATTTCAAGTCAAGGGATTCTACCTTTTACGCTTCCTATATATTGTTAATGTAATGGATTTTGTGAGAGGTTATTTTTAAAGCGAGACCATTTCCGTACAAAGACGTTTGAGTCGTTATTGCGGAATGCAATCTCCTTAAGAAGCTTGTTCCCGAGTCTGCAGGTGTATATGTAATGTCTAGCTATAAGGAGTAGGTGATGAAAGAGGTCTTTTACGTCGTCAATGAGACCGAAACAGAGAGACAAAGAGGGAGAGACGTTTTCTAAATCTTTGAAATTTTGAGAGATCCACTCGAACATGCTCTTCCAAAAGTTGTGAGTGTATTTGCAAGTCCAGAAAATATGAACGAGGGTTTCTTTTTGTTCCTCGCAAAAGGAACAGGAATCTGTTAGTAGTATTACTTGCTTAACTGGGGCACTTAGTACTTCATGTCATAGTCACGAAATGTCCTTTAGGTCATGAAGTAGTAAGTCATAAAGTGTCCACCTATGAAAGTGACATCATCAAAAATTCCAGATGGCGCCTGATGGTCGGGTCATACTCGGGTAGTAGTTGTTATTCTAGATACGAAGGTACGAAGGTTTTAGCTCAGACGTGTGGGACAGAATTTCTGTCCCCTGCGCAGTAGGCATGTCTTGATCTAATCTCGTCAGCGTTGGAAGTTGAACAGGAGCAGTTAAACGCCGTTCTGTCTCCACGCTCTGTGATAAATGTTCCGGTGTAATCACCATCTTTTGAGCGTGCTTCATTTGAACACTTTACCCAGTAAATCAACTGCAAGGGGTGCAATCAGAGCAGCAAGGGCTGGCAAAAATCCTTCTTTTTGATTGAGCTCTTCCTTCTTCTATTTAAGGCTCGGTTTCTTGCGGGTCAAACAGAGGAGCTTTGACTTGTGTGGTTTCAATCGTTTAAATGACGAATTCGGTGCTATGATGTTGCCTTTAAGAAGATTCAGGGCCACTTCCCCAATGGCTTCCATCTGTCCTCTATTAGCATGGGCTATCATATCTTTTCGTTGCTTTCCATTGCTTTTAAAACACGCACAAAGAAAGGGTAGGTGTTGTTGGAATTTGGATTGTTTGGCAATACTTGACCGCTTTCGTTTTGTCCCACTGGTCTGAGTCGTAGTGCCAGAACGTAAAACAATATTGCCGCCGCGTTTATTAACAACTCTTGACTTCACTGTGCCACCTGCCTTACACGAAGGCATGGTGCTAACTGACGTCGATAGTTAAAGGCCCGTCTGTTTTATGGGTTTTCTTGTTGATGTAGACCGAAGGCAAAGATTGTGAGACAGGCAGTATGTTGCTACGTAATCGTAGGATAGCCGGTGTTCGCGGACGTAAATCCAACATGAGATAACCATACGGCTGCGAGGTGGCATCTTGAAAACACACATACGTAAGGAGCGTGCCCTGCAAAAGCTTGTTGAGCCGAGGTTCGGAAACCCAACGTATCCCGAGGATTATTAAAGGCAATGATGTAATGAGCATTGAGAGAAATACTTCTTGAAAATTTTCCCGGTGGGAAAAGGTTCTGTGTCAAGTAGATGCAGGTGACATCACAATGATGAGACACCTTTGTGAACAGGTCCAGAATACGTTCATCCTCGCTACAATTCCTCATTAAGTCATCCAACACGAGTATACCTGGACGACATCCCATTGAAAATAAAGCCGGAATATCTTCAGGAATACCCTCTACAAACGTCATCTGTGACGCCATGTCCTGAAAGCATCTTGCCACTGCCCATAACAGTACACAATTTTACGAATAGGTCTTTCAAACAAAACTTCTGCATACTGAAGTAATAGTTTTGCGAACGTCGTCTTTCCACATCGACTCGGCCCTGCGATCATTACACTGCTCGGGCATTTGAACTGAGCCATGCTTCCCACACAGAACGAAAAAACAACTGATGCCAAAGTTACTGGTGCCTTTCTCTTTATAGGGGTGTATCTCAAGTCCAATACAAAATAAACACATAATGTTCATTTTAAACAACACTTTATTGATTCCTTACGCCAACATTTGAATGACTTGCAAGTTTGTTCACTCTGAAAGAATGGTGACCTCTGCCTAACACTTGTCAACGATTTTACATAGCTGTGAACAAATGTGGCTACTTGTGAATCGTTCCACTGTGTATCGTGCGACCTAAATTTAGCTTGAATAGCGTCCATATCAACATTGCGTGCTCGATGAAATAAATAAAATAAACAGTAGTCTCCACAAGTGTCTGAAGTAAGTCCCTGGAACGGTTTGTTGTTGTAACGCGTAACATCTCGCTCTTTGTATCCATCCATGCCATAGGTATCGGGAGGAAACCCGTAACTGTCAAAGAATTCACTTTCCCACAGAGAAATAAAGTATATGGCCACCCAATGTGTCCCGGGCTGATCACGAGGGTCCGTATTTGCGATCAGTCCCGAAAGATACTTGTTAACGATAGGTAACTTGTCTCTTGGGAAGACACCTTGCATAACGGGAGCTAAAATGGGGTCTTGTAGTGCCGCTTGCCATAGCTCAAAGATGGTATGCATCGTTTTGTCTTTAAGCGCCCTGTGACAGGTCGTACACCACACGTCTGTTACGATCAATTTCCAACTGATTCTGGAATTCTACGTACACAATTAAATTGAGAACTGCAGGGGTCTCAGTGCCAAATTTTAAATACAAGCTGACATTTCCGCTGCGATTAGGAATCAAATGATCCGGATGGCCGCTTCTTGCTGGTGTTGTGTCCAAGCGAAATAAACCATAACCCTGCTCCCATTCTTCTCTGTCAATGTCTATACCATGACCGCAGTTCATATCACCACTGCCTGAGAAAAGTGTATTGTAGCCATCGATTTTCTTGCCACCTATCAATTCGATGCCTGAGAAAGGTATTTCTTCTCCATCGACTGTTAGACGAACAGCATTCAGATCAAACTGCTGGAAGTTGATTGGGTTCCTCCCCAAGTTTCCATTGTAAGCATCGTTTCGCACCATTCCAAATATGATGCATTGGGGGATGAGACCATTGAATAGATCGGTCTCTGTGTGATTTAATACTCCTCTGGGAATGATCCTAGCATGCGTAAGGGGTTCTTGTTAGTGTATAGATTGCAGGAAGTGCCTTCTGACCCGTCATGGTGTTTACGTGATCCAATTTAGTGCTGTCTGCCACATGAACAGTACGTACACGGAGCGTGCTTGACACTATTTGTAACTTGCAATCGTTGGCATCTTCACCACCCATCAGACTAAACTCACTGCTGTTAAGATCTATCTTGATTTTGATTTCCAATCCATCCAACAGTAACTTGTCAAGGTTGAATACATCACACAGGGGTACACCAACCATTCCAACTTCAGCATCTCCAGTGGTAAAAGAACCTCTCTTTTTTAGACCCAAATTTCGATCTGCTGTATTATCCACCTCATCCATATGCCCAGCAGTGTCTTTGTAGTACAACGCTTTTGTCAAGTAAGATTTCTTGGCCTGATCAGTAAAGTTAAGTAAGGTCTTGATATAAGCATTGTAGGCTTATGTGTCTGATTGTTCTGTGACAAGGGTTTCATTGATCTTGATAGTGAACTGTTTGATGATAGAATGAAGAGCGTTGTTGATCAACGTATATTTCTTCCCAGCTCCTGTCTCACCTCCGTTTCGTTTTGTAATTTTCACCACCAGACGAAGTTCAGTCTTGTTAATGTCGATTTAATCGGACAGAGGTTTGATCACAAATTCCATGGGATTGGTGCCACTCTGACTTGGTTCATAGTCCACCCATTTACTTCTGACAATAGAAACATCGGTGACCGGCACTTCGAATAACTGCAAACTGGAGTTAACTCCTGGAGCAGAGAAGGGATGTGCTGAAGCCATACTCAGTCAAAAATAGTCTTGAACGTTGCTGACGATGTTCTCGCTTTTTTGACTTGTCTTGTACTGACAGAATTCGCCTTTCGTTTGCGTTTATATACTTTTCCACGCCCTTGTTGTTGCATCATGTCCCGAAAGGCCTCAGTGAAAAATTGTTTTCCGGCAGCTTTTGCTCTCGTTTTCGCTGCTTTCTTCAGTGATTGCCCATTCATAACATCTTGAGCAATTTGCACTCCTGTGTCTAATCCAGTGGACAGTAACCGTTTTCCCACCTTCTTTGCAGCGGTCTTGAGAAGAGGTGTTGCTGTGCGAAAGAGAGAACGAAACATTCCTTCAAATCCATTTCCACCTTGACCATACGGGTGTGTTCCTCCATACATACTAATATCTCCTTTACCTCGTTGCGCAATAGGAATCACATAGCGCTGATAAGGATAAAATTGGTGGTTCATTGGTAGAAGCATCGTACAGAATTGTCCTTCGTCGAAAGTGTAATGTTACTCTGACAGCATCAGACGCAAATGATATCAGTCGACCTGTGTCGCTTCTTACATTCATTTCCACCGAGGAGAAAATAGATGTTCGCAATCGATGATAGGTAGGGCGTTTGATTTCGTCTGCTACCATTTCACCCGGCTGACCGCGAGGTAATATCATACGCAGCAGATTGGCTTGTAAATCCCCTACCACTAAGGACTCTATTAGATCAGAGTAGACATACATGGTTTGAAACGAATGCTTGCTTAACATTCCCCATACCAATTCGTCGTTTCGTCGTATCGTGGTGGTGGTAGCTGTAAGGGTCACACTCTGGTTCTTATTTAGTTGAACAGATGTAGGACTACTGGTGCGATAAAGGGCTGGTACGAGATCTCGATGGTTCAAATACCCTAAAGCTAGAGTCAAGTTCTTCGATAACATCACTTGAAATCCTGTGGGTAAGTACAATTGACAATTAATAATGACTTTTTCGTGAATGTAGAAACATTCTTTGCCTCCAAGACGTTTGATCTTCTTTCCACTCTTGATATAAATGTCTGGAAAGGCACTATCTAATCCTGTCACCATACCACTGATCAAATCCTCGACTGTTCTGTATGTGTCTCAGGGTAAATAAATCGGTAAGGTCCATTCCTTTTCACCATTGTAACGTAAAAGATAGGACACCTGATTGCTGTGTATATTTTCCCAAGTATGTGGGTAAATAATATGCGTCATGGCCACTTCCCAATCCTCTCTCAAATGCATTTGACTTGGGAGTTGCATTTTGAAACTGGAAGGTGTGTTCTCAGGATACTGATCTATGCTTGCATCACTGGCTAACACGACGTAAAAGCTACTACTCATCTTGTTCTTCTCCGAAAATGTAGTACAACGTTCACTGTTCCACCTTGAAATGATATAGGCTGACCACATCCACTTGTTAAATAGATGTCAATCGTTTGAAATGTCTTGGTTCTCATGTGTTCAGGCTGCTCCATAACTGTCTGTGGGAATGAACCGTGTGGTACCATTTCGTGTAACAAAGACAGTCGTGTGTCACAGACCTGCCAAGGCTCGATCAGATTCATGTGTACTTGGACTACTCTGTGTTTACAGCGACAAAGAGAGACTGTCTGAGGTATTTCATAGGTACCCCGAAAAGTGATAGAGTTACGGATGGGCAGCACACACCACGTATATCCAAAATCATTGACCAATGAGGGATTCATTTTTACACCCATCGTGTCTACTTGACGAGGCTTGTTTTCACTGTTTATCCATCCAAGTGCTTGGGCATCAGGGGCTGTCACCATTATCCACACGTCTTGAGATGTGATTGTTATGTTCCACTCATTATCAATAGCTATGTTCAAGTGCCAGGGTGTGGGGGCTTTGTTCATGCATTGAAACAATCCTTCTACCACATCTAATGCTGTTCGATACCGTCCAACAGGTAAGGTGAACTTTTCAATGTGCTGACTTCTGAATCGCCGCAACATGAGATGGGGGTGGTTGCATTGGTGAGGGACTTCGAACAAAGAGAATGGATAAATGACATGATGAAGTCCAACTTCCCAATCTTCTTCGTCTGGTAAATGAATTTGACGAGGTAATGCAACACGGTAATACGAAGCTGAGTTGGTAGGAAATAAGTTCGTATTGGCATTACTGGGAAGTATAAAGTAAAAATCTCCATCCTGTTTCATGTTTACTGTGAGGACACCAGCTGCTTATAAGGAATCCAGCTATCGCATTTCTTGGGCCAGCCTTTCCAATGAACCGACGCTTCTTTGGAAGCACCTTTTCCACGATACTTTAAAATTTTTTCAATGCGAAACAGGTGATCTGGCTTTTCTAGTACTTTCTGTAGCTCTGGCTCATAAAAGGTGCCTTGAATGAAATCACCGTCTGCTTCCTTTAGGAGATACACTGGAGGATCTCGGGGTATTCGTTGGGCAATGGTAAATGTCTCCTCCGTCCAGGATGGCAGATAACCTTTCTGAAAGATTCGCTTGTGCTTACTGATCTTGACTTGATCTCCTACCTTGAATTCATACTTGGTGGGGGCTGATTGTTTACCGTACAAGGTTCTCCAAACAGCATGTTCATTAGACTCGTTGACATCGGCCGGTTTCATTTTGATGCTTCGGTGTATACTCTGATTGCAATTGCCGTTGACCAAACCATCTAGTTTGTCCAAATAATGGTAGGAACTGGTCGTGGTAAACATTCTCCACATTAATTGCTTGAGAGTCCTGTTGAAGCGCTCAACCACTTGGGCTTTGGTTTCGTTGTATGTCACAAAAAAGTGCACGTTTTCCTCTTTAAGAAATGTTTGAAAAGCTCTGTTTTTGAATTCAGTTCCAGCATCTGTTTGTAACTTCTAAGGTTTACGTCCTTGTCGAAATATCTCCTTGAATGCTGCCACAAGCTCCTTGCCGGTTTTAGTCTTGAGAGGAAACACCCACGCAAACTTAGAAAGCACATCGATACAAGTCAACAAATACTTGTAACCACGGTTCCATTGACTGAGACTTTGCAAGTCCACTAAATCAGCTTGCCACTGAGAATCTATCCCAAAAACAATTACTCTGTTGCGACGAAAGTGTTTTCTTGCAGGTTTGTGTAATGTATAACCGGGTTGTAATTGCAACCATTCAAGTACTTGAGAGCGAGTTACTCCATATCGACGGGCTACCCGATATAGTTTGTCCACACAACCCAAAGCTGAAGGACGGTCTAGTTCATAGTACAGTTTCTCTAAAAGTCGGTTCTTCTGGTTGCTGCTCCTCTTCTTCATGTTCTTCTGGGGCCTCCTTTCGGTACTCGTCTGATGCATGTCTCAAATCGATGTGTACTTCACTGCCACAATATGCAACTAAACAACGCATCCTCTGACATATATCACTTAAAGCCAAAGTAGGCGATGAGTTTCCACAAAGACGACTTGTGACACCACCCATGGTTTCAAAAGAACTGATAGGTAACGTCTGTCCATACGCTTTTTATATGCTTGTCCCGGTAACATTAACTGGGTTTGACTTTAAATTGATTGGCCACATTACCAGTGTACTTGGAAGTTACATCTCTCACCAGGGTTAAGTAAATATTCGACATGATGTCTGAGCAAAGCGTTTACCCAGTCAAGACCTTCCCATCTATTTATAATCAGAGACCACACGGTTGTTTAAGACTCGCAAGTGACTTTAATATGTCATGTCACCTCGCTTTCGTTACAATTAACTAAGCTGAACCTACTTGGTTTCAAAAAAGCATGCAAATGTTCTCTTTCCACAAAATTCTATTACAAAGACAGTAACAGGGCCACTTCATTGCCGTACCAGCTGTAACCGTCCGGTGTATAGACTCGTGAGGATCGATCAATCACCCGCTTGTCAAACACCAAACCATATTTCTTGACACGTGTCGTTAACTTGATTTTCTTGGTCGCTTGATGTCGTTCAAAGTAATCGTCGATGGTAATGTTAATGTCACGCCGTTTTTCTTGCGGGTCATCCAATTCTTTCAAGATGTTGTCTTTCATCGTCTGGTAATTGAGTTTCTGCATGGCTGCGTAGTTTAAGGAGAATCCACGCACTTTGCATTCAGCTTTGCCGCTACGGGTCAGAAGCCGTTTGTACTTTCTGAGGCTGACGAGGACCTAACCTTGTCCATAGTCTTTCTAAGGCTTCGACCAAGGTGGTGGCACTTTTACTCTTTAACGGCTCCACTCACGCGTATTTCGACAACACATCAATCACGGTGAGTAAATATTTGTAACCCTTGTTGTATTTGGCTAAAGTTTGAAGATCCACTAAATCCATCACAAATTGTTCATTGATGCTAAAGACTTTGGTGGGTAAGGATGGAAAACGTCGACGTCAAGGCTTATGCAGATAGCCTGTGTACAGCCGCCCCCTCCACTCAGAAAATTTCGGAGAAGAGGTGTCTGTGGGGAGGACGCGACTGTACATAGGCTAGTCTCAGACGGATGATCCATTTCTAGCTCTAGTGTTAAAACGGCCAATAACAAAATTCCCGTTTCCAGAGTTTTTAATGATAGTGAAACACTGTACGGAAGGCCGCATTATTCCGCGCGGCTACTGCATTTCGGGTCACGTGGTCCGTGCGAGTTCGCCACCGAAATGCCTTGACCGAGATTTCGTTGGAAAGCGCCGTATAGGGACTAGGCATGGCAATGTCTACCGTAACTTCAGAGAAAAACAGGGAAAAAACAAAAAACAGGGTTTATTGGCAACGTTTTTTTCCAACAGTGAGATCTCTGCGTGTTATTTCATTAGTGTTTCGAGGGCACGACCTCCGGAAAATTGCAAATATTAATCCCAAGCAAGAAGCCACACTTTCGCTATGGAAAAAATTAGTTCCCCAAGAGAGCGCCGGAAGTGGAGCCTAGGTCTTGGTTAAGGCGCTTCGCCTAACGTGCGTACGAAATCATACTAGCCGGGAAATAAAAAACGGAACCATAAGTTAGTTTAGTAACTTCCTTAAAAGTGGCAAATCTAGGAAACACTTTCTTTTACGGTCAATTCTTTTTTACCCTATTTACGGCTAACGGTTAAAATTTTTCAATTACCCTCGAAAAATGACTGCAGCAGATTTCCGAGGTTAATTATTAACAAACTCCAGCCCAACCTCCATTCAGGGGACACCTCTGGGGACACTTGCCTTGGTCGCAAGGGTGTCCCCTGAATAGAGGTTTCACTGTATGTTTCTTTGAAAAGAAAGAGACCATGCATAACATTTATTTTAATAGAATAAACTATACATGAAAACCAAGAAAACATTTGCACAAAGTTTAATATTTTATTGGGCATTTGTCATGATTTCCAAGCACTACGCTGAAATCAAATAGCCTATCGTGACCTCAGACAGTTTCGATCGAGTTGATTGATCAGCAAACAATCTCGACCTTTTAAATCCTGCATGACGAGTCACGCGAGGCAGTAGTCTGCGAAATCAACTTGGTCCAGGACGTTATCACAGTTGATTTGCCATATTCCGATAATGGTGCTAACATCAACGGCAGTCAATTACAATACTTCCGTTTCTGCAACAACTCCTATCAGTTTCATGGTCGAGGCAAATAGTTTGTTAAACAGGGTTCTAATCACAATTTCTGCGATTCTCACTTTGTTGAGTACAACTGTTATTTTCGTTACATATATCGCATGGAAGGATTACCGATCAACCTCAAGAAGAATTCTTGTTTATATCTCCATCGCCGACTTCTTACTTGCTTCAAGTAACTTGTTTGGAGTGTGGAAGCCACACGATAGAAGTGGAAGGATTTGCAAGATACAAGCCTGTGCCTCTGCTTGCGCTTATTTATGGTCGGTTCTTTGGACAACATTTCTTTCCGTTTTCTTGTACACCACTGTAGCGAAGAGACAGCATCGCAAAGGAGAGATCATGCTCAAAGTTTTTCATGTCTTTGGATGGGGAGTTCCTTTGATTATCGTGGGAACTGCTTTAGGACTAAACAAACTGGGAAACAACAGCAACACTCTGACATCCGGTTGGTGTTGGCTAGACTCAAATCTGAGAAGAGGTGATTTGCACTTATGGCTTTGGCTTATAGGAATAGCTTGGGACATTGCCGCTTTTGTGCTTGTCACGGCGTTCTACTTGATGTTGAAATGTCATATTCGAGAGCAGGTAATTTCCTTTAACCCTAGAGTTGACTCGATATTGAAGGTTGTAACTACACATAATGAATTCTGTCGATCTAGTCTTTGTTAATAAAACGATTTTAATATGTTATCCAACTAGTGTTACACATCTGTTGGAGGGGAAAGAAGTCACAAATTATAGTATTAGCCTTTTCAAAGGTACAGAAATTAAAGTTTGGTTTCAATTATCACTACTTGCTTGCTGCCCCTATTATCTTCCAATTTTAAATTATGACACAAGAAAAAAGGAGAAGAAAAGTAACACAGAAATAGAATATCTTGTAATTGTAGCTAGATTAGAAGCTCAGTAATAGTGGCAATAGTCATATGACCTGTTTTGTGAGCATTCGATATAAATAACTGTGCGCGACGAAGGAGAACGCTTACTATTCGAGTCATTTTTGCCTGCGGGATTTACAATTTCCCGCGGGTTCAAGCTCCATTCCATGATAATTAGATGTTTAAATATTAGTTATCGGTGGTCGGCACATTGTACATCAGTTTAGGGCGACCGATATTTCCTCTGCAAATCACATCACTTAACTTTTTTTCATAAAAAACTTTAATTTTCCGCTTTGTATTCGGTTTTGTTCCACATTGGTTTTTGAAAATTATACATGAAGTTGTACGGTGAAATGTTACTCTGACGTCTTCGCAGATATTCTGAGTTTGCGTTGGAAATGCATTTTGTAAACATCTCGGAAAAGATGGGTAAGGTGTTAACAATGCAGACATAAACTGAAATAGTAGGTGAGTCGTGTTAGCGCCGTGTCACGCAACTAGGGTTCAAAGTCACACGCGACGCTTTGGAATATCTTTGTATATGGCTTAATCAATAAACTTTTCTGCAAGCCAATTTTATTGACCACTCTGGAGTGCAAACGAATGTTTTTGAAAGTAACTAGTGTTTGACCTGCTGTTTACTGAGAGGTGTTATCTTTGGCCAAATATGATTTGAAATATATTGGACGCCGTGCTATTTTTAGGCAATATGAAGTAGCAGTAAGTAAGTAATTAATTATTAAAGTTTCCATGTATTTAGTTTTCACAACTAATTGGGGACACAAAAATAAAAATTATTTACAAATAAGAAATAATAATAATAATGTATATACAATCAAAATATGTAGCATGTATAAATTGTATAATAAAACAGTAGGTAGTGCATTGCAAAGTTGAAGGGTAAACAATAACACAGTGTTGACTTTTGGTATTAACTAAACCATCAATGGGTAAGCTCCTTGTTACCTTCAGGAACTTATTAATCTTAAAGAAGTAGGCAGATATACTTTACTTTCCGTGTGTTTTGGGTTGATACTAAATCCTGTCCAATTCAGGACTGAAACCACTTTTGCAGATCGCTCTTTTACTGTCGCTGCTCCTAAACTTTGGAATTCGATGCCTTTTGTGACAAGGAGTTGCCTCGCAGTTGCCACTTTTAACAAGTCATTCAAGCCTTTTTTTAATCTCCAGAGAGCTTTTATGTCATTGTATATAAATTTTTAAACCCCTCTTTTGTAAGTTTATGAGGTTTGTACACGTACAGTTGAAGTACTCAAAGTAATTTTTAATTTTTTTTGTGTTCGAAATATCTATTTATTGTATTATTATTATTATTATTATTATTATTATTATTATTATTATCATTATTATCATTACAGGCAGCTATTGAGATCTTAATGAGTAGGGCCTACTTTTGACTAAAGATTTTTATTGACCTCTGCAATCTATTTGTACTTAACAATCTTGCAAGCAGATCAGGTTTTACTATCAGCCTGAGCAAAGTCCGTCATTTTTCGTACCGAGTTTTGACTGTAATTTGTGAATTAAAAACCAACGTAAAAAGTCAAGAGAAATATGAAAACATAATATCATGTCCAAAGTTTACAGGAGAATTTTTTATGATCAACTATACCACGCCTTTCAAAGTGACTTTCGTTGAATTTTGCAGGATTTTTAGAGCACCATTTTTTCTCTTTTGCTCTCCTTAAAATGTCTGAGGACTCAGGAGATTTCTAGACAACAGGAAAGCGGTAGTTGCAGTTGCGATAGATCTTGGCAAAGCATTTGACTCAATCCATAACAGTCTACTGCTGCCTAAACTTAACGAATATGGTTTCTCCTCATTTGCCATGCAACTGATGTCCTCCTACCTGACGGGTCGTAAAGAGAGAGTTAAGGTTCATGGGATGTGTTCTAGTAAATGCTCTAGTTATAGAGACATGACAGTTGGTGTACCTCAGGGTTCCCTTTTGCGGCCTCTTCTGTTTAACATCTTCATTAACGATTTTAACTTTTTCGTTTCTCCAGATGATATATCAGAATATTACTCAGCTACGTCGATAATTGTCTACTCCTATGTGCCTTTGTTAGGAGCCTATGAGTATGGGCTCCTGGCCTTTGTGCACTACAGTAATATCTGGCCGACTGTGCATACTGTTTCAGTGGAATCACAACAAAATCTGCACAGTCGTGTCTCAGACGTCTTATGATGCTGTGCTTGAATTTGTTCTTAAAGCATGTTCTTGAGCAGTTAGCATCACGCCTTTGTTTCCTTCTTAAAAAATACATCCCGAGCCATCATCAGGACTCCTATTACGACCACAAAGTTTGTCAAGCAAACTCTCCATGTTGGTCCCCTGGTAGCCCTGAAAATTCCCTTCTTCAACAAGCACCTTCTCCTTCAAGGCCATTTGTAGCATTACTTGCGCGTGTAAACATCCATTAATTGACAATATCTTCCTAGTTTATTCTTATTATCATTGTTATTATTATTATGATTATTATGATTATTATGATTATTATTATTATTATTATTATTAAAAGGAAAAAGGCATACCTCAGAATATAATATCCACTCCTTAGATTCCGTTCAGCCAAACACTCAAACAGTCTTTATATGTATTCATTAAATTAATTGACTTATTTACGTTATTATTTTGTGCGGGCCTTTTCTGACGGACGCTCTTCCCTAATTTAGCCCTTTTTTTTGCAGATTCTTTACCCTAAAAGACCATTTCCATCGCACGCAGCTACGAACATTGCTCTAAAAGCCGACAGAATGTTAACCTTTGTTCCTATTGTCTTTATTCTGGTGCACATGTGGGGCACACTTAGATGGATCCTATTTATGTATGCTGACATTGGAAAATTACACACATGGTGGCATACAGCGCTTCTTTGTCTCCAGGTGAGGGATTCATCTCGATTGACGACAATTTATTAAAGTGTAAACTTAATGATGGCTCAGTTATGTAAAATGTTACATCGGCGAACACATATTCTTAAGATTACCTTACCGCGGTATGAGTTACCAGTGATTTTCTTTCTCCTGCTTTAAATCGCTCATTACGTGTTAAATCACGCCATCACCCTGTCATATTACTCAGAGAGAGTACTCAAGGGACATTTGGGTAGAAGTGCATGCGTCGTCGAAGTTTTCAAACCCTAAGCCTGTTTAAGACAAAAACTGTTCATTTCGCTATCCAGTTTAAGGCCTCCTTTAGTTACCCTGGTTCATTTCGTTTCTCACACATAACAAGAACGTTCTTAAAAGTCTCGGTTGCTCGACGATTAGATAAGAAATGAGGAGACGATTAATTCTACACGAAACAGGATTTCCTCGCTAAACGTTTTTCACCTCCTACTTTATTAGCGGTCGAGTATTCTTCAGGATAATTAATTTTTATATGGTATTCGACGATTTGTTTCCGAATTGATTGAGTGCGCGTGTACAAATACACGAAAATCAAGGGCCTCGATTCGAGAGACTTCGGCATCATTCCCAGAGAGAAAAAACGTGATGAACATGGCGCGTCATTTCAATCATCGCCGAATATAGACTACATGCTCATCACAAGCCTCATTTGCATACGATAAAAGTTTACAACACCCGACCCGCTAGCCTCACGATCGAAGTTAAGATTCTTTATTTCGATCACTGAAGTATTCACTTGTTCCAAAGTAATCAACGCTTTTAAACGATAGAATTTATGGGCCGACCCGTTCCGAAAAAGGTCATGTATAGTGTACTTTCGAATCAATCGCTCCTAAGCTTTCTTGACCACGGTCTCTGCTAGGAACGCTTGGGACCATGATTTCCTTTTGGCGCGCTCACATGAAAAAAAAAAAAAAAGAAACGCTTGCATTTTTAGAGTCTCGCAGCTAAATCAAGCGAGACTAATTAGCAAATTTCTTAATCTCTTAGATCGTGGAAGTAGATTTTTTGTAAAATATTGTTGCTATTACAAAACGCTCATCGCCAACCTTGACATTCTTTGAAAAAAATTAGGTCCAAAAAGACACCTGTTTAAGACGTGAAATTGTTTACCATGTTTAGGACTCAAGACCCTCAAAACAAGAGCACCTGAAAACCATTCCCTTTGGAGCGGTACAACCCGTTTAGGCTAAATATTAAAAGGGGGTACCTGCCAAATGGGCATCAGAGAGATCTCTAGCAGTATTGGCAGGGAAGTTGCGTCAAAATGTTTGTCGAATTCTTGCCGATATTTTCCATGACTGTGACATTAATTTTCACAAAAAAGCTAATACAAGCCAACACTTACTCAACTATCATCATTAAATCAGGTGCAAGTCCTGCCGGGTGCACTCACTGGGTTTCATTCTAAGTCGATCGCCCTCTGTTAATAGCTATTTGATAACTACAGATCTTACGCAAACAGTGTTACTTCTTCTCATCTACTTTTTCTCTCATTTAAATCGGTCGCGATTTATTCTGTGCATGATATATCTTACAGCTTAATACCTAATATATGTATTTCTAATATATTTACCCCTACTTACTTATTCCAATTTGACCAATAATCAGGTAGACGAAGAACCACTTAGTTGGTGTACTACCTCTAAATCCTTATCTATCTATGGTCATCTATCTATCTATCTATCTATCTATCTATCTATCTATCTATTTATTTATTTATTTATTTATTTAGTTATTTATTTGTTATTTAAAGCTAAAATTATTTCTTAAAAAGCACGGGGGTGTCAAGAGGTGACTATTTTGTTGTCGAAAGTTCAAGAGTAGACTATAAAAAGGAACGCTCTGTGGAATGCTCTAACCGTCCAAATACAATTTTAAAGTCAATATGCACGATTTTTCAATGACTGCAAAGAGTAGATCTCTGTATTGAATTTAATACAGAGAATACCATGAACCCTTGGCTTTCATGGTTGGTCCTAAGCCCTCTATATGTATACTTGATATTTTATCCCATAAAATATACTACTTTACTCCATTTAATTTTTTCTCCTTTTTCCTTTTTTTTGGCTTTTGTAAACGTCGTTTTTCTGTTATTAATATCATAAAACTAGAAAGTAGCAATATTAAATCCATTTGTTTGGATGCCAACGACTCTGATAACAGTCGCTTTATAGTGTGTGCTTGTTATAAAAGTCCAACTAAGTGCAAGGAATCTGATTTTCTAGCACCCCTATCAACAGCTGCCAAAAATAAGGATAATGCCAGAAAGGAGCTGCCTTTACTTGGAGAGTTCAATGTGGACATGTATAAGAATAGTGATAAAGGCTTTTTTCCTGACATAAGGCTGATAGACTTCTGTAATCGATTCTGTATCTTAAACCGAATCAATGAACCGAAAAGAATAAGTAAAACATCCAAAAGTCTCATCGATGTTTTGTTAACTAATCACCCGGAATGTTATGCTGCTAGTAGTTGGACTGAGCGATCACTACTTAATCTTTACAGTGCCAAAAAATAAGAATTCAAGGCCAAAGCCGTGCTTGATCATAGTTAATTGAGTGGAATGGTTATGAAACCCGTCAGACTCCTTTGTTATATGTTTTTGTGGACCTGAAAGTGCACAACGTTCAAAAGAATTCCTATCATTTTGATTGTATTGACCAATAAAAACGTTGCATTAATTTATTCCGTAACAATTTGCCAACAGAAAACAAAGGATTGTGCACTTTCAGGGTGCTTCCAACATAAATTGCAGCACTTTTGTTTTTATCATTGATGTTTGCCGCTTTTCATAACCAGTCTCCTCTAATAACTATGGCTTGATCTAGTCCGAATTTCAGAGGATTACCTCGAGTCTTTTTTACTCCCTCAGTGACGTCTGAACCGACCAGCCGTTAACGCCGGCCAGTGACGTCACTATTCGTTTGCTTTAATTCATGCAAAATAAAACACGATTTTCAACTGAACTTATCTCTGGAAATGTCTACATGATACAGAACTGCTTAACTATTTTTGACTGTAATTCATTTTAACGTTTAAACTGTCAACTGCTGCATGCGGTACTCTGATTGAATCCGTTGTAATTCAATAATCAAACTCGATCGCAATCACACAATGAAATAAGCTTAAATGCACACACGAAACACCTCAAAAACACAACAATTTTCTTTAGTTGAAAAAAGCTATTTGGTCCTAAACGAAGAAGAAAGAAAACAAGAAACACTTGGCGGTGGAAATGGCAAGAAGCTCAAATTATAACTTAAATCCCAGAAAACTTCGCACAAACATGAAACAAAGTCACTGCCGAAACCACGAAACCGACTCTAAATGAAAAATCTACCGACCCTCCGCAATGATTCTTCATTCGTAACACAATTTAGTTTCGAAGACGAGGGCAATTTTGCTGTTTACGATAAAGGTTGTCGAAACGTTGAACTCCAAGAAAACGTGCCAGGCATGCGATCCGCTGAGTATCAAACGACAATCCCGCTAAAATTTCTCATAATTGTACATAATTATGCGAATGTTTGGACAATCAAAATCACTACCCGGTTTTCGGGTCGTGACGTCACCGGACGGACGTTGCTGAGAGGAGAAAACGACTCGAAGTAATCGTCTGGAATTTAGGCTACGCTTGATCGAGTTTAGGAGTATGAAGAATTTTAACTTGCCTGACTTTTTGGCTGAATTAAAAAGGGTCCCATGGTCATCCGCCTACACATTCGACAATGCTGATGATGTATGAAACAAAAGAAGTAAGGCTGATTTTACGATCGGGAACATATATAATTCTACCAATATTTCGGAAGACAGGGCCTTCCTTCTTCACATACGATGATGAGGTTAAGCTAAGACGTTGCTATTTGAAATAAAGAATAGGAAAAAGATAAAGATTTCGATTTTATCACGAAAATACTGTTCCGATTTCTTGGATTTGGACATTTTAAGGTTTCTATTGTCATAGAAAACTACACTTAAGTACTTTTTTGGAATGAAAGGTCCAGTGAAGTAATGAATTTTAAAGATTCCTTTCTATCGTCGAGCAAATTTTACGGGCAATCAAACCGACCGGTCACACTTTTGAGGGCCAGTGCACAGCAAGATTGAGGACTTTAGACACAGCAATAAGAGGTTCCTCAAAGGATGTATTATACTTTTCATTGTGCGTATTTTCAGCTCTTCAGAGCTAGTGGAACCCCATATCACTCCTCCTCTCAAAGTTTGCTTAGCTGTAGCGTTGAAAGAGGAAGCTAAATGACAGGTAATTGTGAGAGACTGTGAGCACTGAATCTTGTTGCTTTACGGCATTTTAATACTGTATTGGGCATACACCTGCAATTCTGTAATTAAATCCCGAAAACCAAGAAAAGGTTTCGTTTACTTATTTTTAGGGGGCAAACCCAGTGGAGATTTTGGGTAATAATATTGATGATTAAGACGATGTACAAAAGGCAAGTTGAACTTTCGCCAGTGGGTCACTGGTGGGTGTTGGGTGTAAATTAGTACAGGTTGTGGTGTATTGTGTGTTGTTTGTCATGATGTCAACTAACATTGAAAAAAATTCAGCTGTTTTAGAGGAGGGACATGTCTTTATCTATACCATGGCTTATGGTTTTTATCTGGTCGTAAGCTTGGCCAGTATGCAGATCAAGAGCTTTTGAAATCCCTTTTCCAAAATAAAACTCCGGACTTAAGCTTAAAATATATATTGATCCAAGTGTATGACCAACAGGGTCAGCAGTAAGAATAAAGAAAAAAAGGCCAAAGGGAAAAATAGTGTTAAAAAAGAGACCTAACAGGAAAAAAAACGGTGCAAAAAACAGAAAACAGCGTCGCCGGGAGTCGAACCCGGTTTATCTGCACGTGCAAGCAACTCCTTGACCACTGCACCATAGTGACACACATGATTCGAAGAATTAATTTGTCATATCAAAACAATTTTTCTCTGCCATAGACGCTGTTTGAAGCTGGTGGAGCTGTATTTATCATGGATTCAAATATACATTTGAGGAAAATTAGCTTAAGCGCGTATTTCATAGCTATTTCGCATTATTTCGGGTTCAACTGGGCCGACTCGATGTAGATAATCGATCGAACTAGATAGCTTTACTGAATTTGGTGGAGTATTAGGAGATCAACATGAGGCCTACACTCGAAAGGAATGATATGAAGTTAGACCCATTTAATTAGCAAAAGAATATATGAAATACAAACATGCGTGATCTGTGAATGGAACCTCCTATTCTGGAGACTAGACCTCTCCTAGTTTAGAGAAAAAAAAGATTTAAGTTTTGATGACCTTGCCGGTCCCGTGAAATAGATGGCGATCCCTCAACACGGCCCGCAAAACAAATTAACAAAATTATACAATCACGGACACAAAATATCAAAACGGTTTACACAAGCAGATTATAGCAACACCAAAGCTCACAGACATTCCATCAAATAAGCGATATATAGCG